GCAAAGCCATGCAAAGCAATGCGTAGCAATGCAAAGCGACGCGGCGACGAGCTGGCTGGACCGATACCAGGGCCCAGCGGCGACGGGCGGCGACGAGATGGCTGGACCGACACAGAGGCCCAGTTATCTTTGAACGCAAATAAGAACCCTAAGTGCAAGCACTGTTTGGGGAATCTACTCATCATATGCATATCTACCCCGAGGGCCTGCCCACGCGGCCGACCATCGTCAGGCAATCCAGTAGTTACTGGGGCATTGTGTTCGCCAGGCTCGGACGCCGCAAGTCCCCGTTCTCAAAAGCTCTCCCCTCAAGCCCCCCTTCGACTGGCGCAAGACCCCTGGGGCGCACCCTACGCCCTGGAGCCGTCACCAAACGCGATCTTTCGAGAGCTCCGTGCGCAATGCCACCTCCACCGGTGTCGCACCCGAGGGATCAGGCTGTCTCAAGCTCTCGGAACTTGAAGCGCAGGTTGGATTCCAAAGTGGGTCTGTTAGTATAGAGAAGGTCATGCAACAAACGTTGCGACACATATTCTGCGTATCTGTGCATATGCAGTCTGGCAAATCGGGGCGGCATCATCGCGACGCCAAAGGGCGTCGCGGACTCGAGCCTTTGGCCTGGAAGCACGAAACGCACGATTACCCATATCATGAAGTTCTGCAACCAGTCACTGTGTTCTGGGGGTGCACAGACACGCAGAACACTGTTCAGCTAATCGTTAGCTGGCGCCCGCCTCGAACTCATGCCCCACCCCCCGCCTCTTCCAAATATCCCTTCGCTGTGGCCCCACCCTCCTCATGCCCCTCCGACTGCCCCGGTCCTCGTCGTGCCCTTCATCCACGCTGCTCCCCCCCATGTGCCAATTCACGTCGTCCCTCGTCGTCCTCCTGCGCCGGATTCGTTCCCCCATCGTCTACATGCCCGCCCCCCTCCCATCCTCTACGCCTTAATGCGCATCATGCCCCCAACTTCTGCCCGTCCCCCGCCTCCCTCGCCCTCGTGATGCTGACACCGATGATGCAGATCCTCCTGGGCTCATTTCCTCCGCTCTCGTCCAGTCCCGTTCATCCTTGGCCCCTCGGCCACCCCCCCTATCGAACCCCTTCCTTCCCACAGCCCACCATCCACACACACCCGCGCCTTTGCATGCCCAGACCACGGCCCCCTCCTGGACCAGCCCGGAGACCCGCGGAAACTCCCGCCCATAGACCACTCCAGCGAACGGCGCGCAACAAATGCACAGTTGGAGACACGAGCTGTGTATTTCGACCGCGCACGACGCTCCCCCTGGACCAGCCGGAAGAGAAACGCGAAAGTTCCCGCCCATTCAACACCACCCGCGAGGGACACACTCCAAATACACAGATGGGAACGAGATCTGTGTACACACATCACACCACGATCTGTGTAAACAGCGGGCCCACACACGAAAATACACAGTTGAAGACACAAACTGTGTACACAGATCACACCTTGATCTGTGTATTTAGGAAAAGTAAACGCTCGCCACCTCGAGGGCGCCCCGACTTTGCCAGCCCAAAACCGAGGTTGACATGCCCAGTTGGGGGGGAATGCGAATACACACTTCCCCGGCCCAGGGCGCCCCCGAGAGAACCGCAAATACACGCTTCTGTGGCCCAGGGCGGCCGCGGTGCAACGCGGCGCCAAAGCGGCCCCCAACGGCCCGAAGACGCCCCAAAAGGCCTCGAAGGACCACAAAGAATGCCGCGCAGCAGTCCGAAAACACGAGAGATGTCACATGTCACGGACCTCTTAACAGTCAAAAACCCACGCGTCGCCATATAGACCACTGCTCCGGCAGGGGGGCGGACCTTGCCGCAGGCACTTATAATTTACATGTTAGCGATGCGACTGTGCTCGGCGGCCGTGCCGCCCGCACTTTGGGTGCGCCCGGAACTCTCGCATTGGCAATCCCCTCTGTTTGGTTGCGCCGCTGTGCTCGGATATCGAAAAAGCATTTACCGCTGACGCGGGCACGCGGCACCAGGGACTTCATTTTTCGAACAAGGAGGGTGGACGAGGTAGGACGACGGACGGTGGAGCAGGGAGGCAAAAAGGAACGAGGAATAATAAGGGAGGTGGGAAGGGGCGCTCCCCCGCCCGAGCCGCGGACGCTTTCGACACCATCCAGGGGAGGGAAGAAAGGAAGGGGAACGGAGCAAGGGCGAGGACGACGACGGGAAGCAACTGTCCCGGGTCCGCATATAGCCATATGTCTGCGACTGGGGTGCGCGCGCTTTCTTCGAGGCGCTTCAAGCAGGACCCATGCTGAATTCACTAATTCCTCAAAACTGTGTGAACACTCTGTCCTCTGTTCCCTCTCCTATACAACGGCCTCATAACAGAGGGGCAGTGGATTCCAAAGCGCAGGCGGGGATCCAGAGCCCGCTTTGCTGGCCGCCGTCGCGGAGGCAAGGTGGCCCAGCGTATTGCCCTGCAGCAGGAAGCTGACAGGCGTGGTGTGGGCAGCAAGCTGGTGCACAATTTGTTCCGCTTCAACCAGCTCAGCGTCACCTCTGGTTAGCGACGGTGGGTCTTTTAAACGTGACCCATGGGCGAAATGCTCCCACGATGAATGGTAAACACCGCACAGCATATGTACACCAGCGTACCAATCATAATCATGTATTTTCCGTCGGTGCGCAGCGGGGCACGCGCCAGAGCGAGTGAGGAAAACCCAAGCACGGATTTGAAACCGGCTGTTCCGGGTTCCGTGAATAACCACGTAAACTGGTCAGAGCGTGAACCTACACAAGAGGAGGAAGACGAGGAGGAGGAAGAAACCTCGCGCGTGCGTAGGCCGACCCTGGTAGACGGCACCCGCACAATAACCCTCGCGAGCACGGGCGGTACAAAGGGGGAGGAAGGAGGGGAGGAGAGGAAGGAAGACACAGTCCAAGAGCTGGCACTGGTTGCTGCAGGGTGTGCGCGGCAATGCCAGCCCGAATCCTGCGGGGCAGGGGCGGGACCGACAGGGCGCGAACACCTTTGTGTTGGGCGGCCTGAAAAAAAACTACGGAAGGAAAACCAAAAAGGGAGCAGAGGAAAAGCAAGGGGAAGGCGAACAGTGCCGGCCGCCCATGAAACTCCTTGCCAGGCCCTCGCGGCATGCATAGGGCTGTTCAGGTGGAGATGTAGACGCAGTACCTTATGCGCTGGTGTGCCAGATCACGAACTAGGAGGTGGAAAAGCTGACCTGTAGTTGTCCTGGTCGTGTGGCTGATACGCCGGGGTCGGAGCTGGAGTCGATGCTGGCGGGATCGTCGTGGCGATCAAAACGGTCGCCTCCCTAGACCTGGCGTTGATGTCAGAGTCAGAAACTCGGATCGTGCGTGGGGTAGGAGTGGGATTGGTAGCCGGGTGAAAAATCGCAGATGGAGTCGGAGACGGAGTAGGCGGCGGCTCGGGGGCCGGAGCTGATGACAGAACGGGTGTTGGCGTCGGGGTTGCCCTCCCTTCGTCACCGCGTCGACGTCGGAGCTGGAGTCCGAACCGAAGTTGGAGTAGAAGCTGGGGTCGGGACCTGGTCTGATGTTCGGCTCCAGCGGGACAGGCAGCTTGTAGCCCGGCGATGCTGCAGTCGAGAGAGCTGGTGCACACGTCTGAGAGACGAAGAGGAACGGGTCTTACGCGAGATGGTATAGCGACCTTGCGCGGTGGCTTACGCGGGCCGCCCGCGCGTGACGCTACATTGGAAACGAGGGCGCTCACGCGGGACCTGACGCGGGCAGCTTACGCGGCAATGTCGGTGAAGACGAACCCGTTTTCCCTCGTCGCTCATCTGAAGATGCGACAGGCCCACTGAAACGGAGCATCACACATGAACCTCCTGAGGACCACGAACTGCAACTTGCGCCTTAACATCTGGAGGGACCGAAGCAGGGGCAGGAGCACGTGCAGGATAATGGCCACGTGTCAGCACCCTGCAAAAACGTCCTGGAACGACTCGCACAGGGAGTGAAGAGTTTGATTTGTCGAAGCTGCTGGCACAAATTCAGAAGCACCCTGCGCCAACCTCGGAAAGGGATGCCAGCAGCAGCAGCATCAGGCATCCAGGCCGCCAAGAGAACCACCATCACAGAATCTGGTCGTATCACCAAGAAGCCCAGACGTGCGGCGGCTGCGCCCAGCTCCTGCTCCTCGGCGCAAGCCCGAGTGGCGCAAGGCGTCCCAGGCCGATGGCCCCCGGCCTCCGAGCCCTCCACCCCGCAGCCGAATCCTCCCCCCCCCCCCTACCCTACCTTCCCCCCCTCGTCTTTCCCTCATCTTCGTTGGAGGAGAGCGAGACAGAGACACAGACAGAGACAGAGAGGGAGAGATGATAGGTGCGAACAGCATGACTCAACACGAGGCGTTAATTTCAAATACCTTCCCTCCTTCTCCTCCTCCTCCTCCTCTTCCTGCTCCTCCTCCCATCTATATAATCCTGCCCTCGTAGATCCGATCGCCCTCTCCCCTCTTCATCATCCTCCTTCTCCTCCTCGTCCTCATCCACCACCACCTCCTCCCCTCTTCCTCCTCCACCACCTCCTCCTCCTTCTTCTTCCACTCTTCCTCCTCCTCCTCCTCATCCTCACCACCACCACCACCTCCACCACCACCACCCTTCATCATTATCATCATCGTCATCATCATCATCATGATCATGATCATCGCCATCATCATCATCATCATCATCATCATCATCATCATCATCATCATCATCATCATCATCATCATCATCATCATCAGCAGCATCCTCATCAGCATCAGCATCAGCATCAGCATCAGCATCAGCATCAGCATCAGCATCAGCATCAGCATCATCATCATCATCATCATCATCATCATCATCATCATCATCATCATCATCATCATCATCATCATCATCATCATCATCATCATCGTATCATCATCATGGTTATCACCATCTCCTCCACCATCCTCTCCCACACCCCACCCACCCACCCGCCGACCCGATCGCCTCCTCCCCCGTCGCCTTCTGCGGCCGCCCCATCGCCGCAGGCGCAGCCGCCGGCCGCGGCGGCAACGGAGCCGCCACCAAAGGTCCACCAGGGCGGCCTGGCACGGGGGGGAGGGGGCTTCGAGGCGAGGGGGAGGGGAGTACAGGGGAGGAGGACAGGGGAGGAGGACAAAGGAGGAGGAGGAGAAGGAAGAGGTGGAGGGGGAGAAGGAGGAGGAGGAGGAGGAGCAGGAGGAGGAGAAGGAGGAGGAGGAGGAGGGGCGGAGGAAGCCAAGCGAAACGAACGCCGGATTCCAGCGCGCTCATCTGGGGAGCCCGCCCGTGCCCCATCGGGGCATGGCGTGGAGGCCGTGGCCTCAAAACTGTGATACGTGAGCGGGCTCACGTCGCAATCACTCTTCAGTGCTTCCAGAGGCTGGTGACTATGACAAGTCGTTTGAGCTGTTGTGTGCTGTGCTCGTCTTGAGCCTCGGCTTGCGGCGTCTTCCAGACCCGGCAGGACAGAGCCCGCTCGGCGAGTCGCACGGCCTCCCTGAGTACTTGCAGCTTGGAAAGGGCCGAGGCGCCAGGGCGGTCGCGGAGGATGGCATGCCAGGCCAGCGATTCCTGCTGAGGCCAATCCGGATGGTCCAGCACCTGGTCGCAGATAGGCCGCTTCGCGTCACAGCCGACCTCCGGGAGGCATTTCCTCATGCTGGCCGGGCGGTGGCGGGAGAGTGCGGGGCACCAGTAGAGAGAAGTGCACGAGAAGGACCTGTCCAAACACTCCGCGTGTCGTACTAATTGGAATACATGCGGTCCAGGCGAGACCGGAAGTTCGGGGAGGCGTGGGCGGGTTCAGGCTGATAGAGCTCATGGAAACCAAATGGCACTCCAAGTAGGTCGCGTAAGCGGGACAAATTCCGTTAGTCGCGGCTGCCCGTAGCAGCGGCTGAGGAAGTACAAGTCCGGTCGGCCTCAGAGGTCATGAAATTGAAGTCCCCGACGATCATGCTCATGACCTGGTTCTGGGGCCGCACCTGCACGGCAAGTCGACGGCGAAGAGCCTCACGCACCTTGAAACTGGATCGAAACCCGCGTCGATCACGTCGTCCGCATTTGCCGACTCCCCTGTGGGGAAGTACACCGAGAAGACATCCAGACAGCCGCGCGAGCCCGAGAGGCGAAGGGCAGCTGCCCTGCCTGGGAAGACGACCTCGAAGCGCACACCGTCGAGGAGTTTCTGGATATCGTCCCGCGCCACGATCTCGACGCCTGCGCTCGCCGCAGAGAGGCCTGGTGACCACCAGGATGAGCAGCCCGGCGGATTCTGCCACCGTGGGCCTCCGACCAGCAGCCAGCGTCGCGTGAGGTCATCAGCTGGCGTGCCCGACGCGACTGGTCCCAGTTGAAGGGGCCATGGGACACACAAATAAATGCACACAAATAAAAAGATTCCCCATCTTTTCGCACATTTTCTGGGTTTTTGTCTTCCCCCCCACTTCCCATATTTTCCCATATTTTCCTGGGGATCGTCGATTAATTGTGTCTGTGTGTTTTTTTCCCTCTTGAGCTTGTTGGGGTCCACGGTGAAGACTAGAATGCATAAGTGTTCCAAGTTCGGGGACCTTCTGACCGGGGTCAATCCAGACCCGGGTCAGTCAGGCCTTGCAGGATCCTGCAAGATCCTGCAAGGTCCTGCACCCAAGCCTGGGTCAATGCGAAGGATCCTGCAAGATCCTGCAGGATCCTACACCCAAGCCTGGGTCAATGCGACCCTGGCTGACCCCCGATTGGATTGACCCCCGTCTCTTTCGGCGGCGACGACCAAGGCGAATAGCCCAGGGGCGGGCATTACATGTATTCGCCCAGGAGCCTCGCCAAAGACATGGATCATCGGCGCCCCTGGATACATGTATTGCTCACCCCTGGGCTATTCGCCCCTATCGTCGCCTCCGTCTCTTGAGCCCCGACAAGTGACCCTGGGCAGCTGCCCGGCGTGGTGCCCTCTGGCCAGCGGAGCCCAGGCCCCCTCGGGAGCCCGAGCCCGACCGCTTGCCGGATCGCACCGGGGCGGAGGGGGGGGAGCCGAGCCGACCCCGAATGCCCAGCGGACGGCCTGCTGACGCAAAGCGTGGATGGGGGGAGCTCCCGAGCGAAGTGAACCCCACCCTCCCCCTCAGAGATCGTGGAGGGCATGGGGTAGGGATCGCATGTGGCCCCCCAGTGGAGAGGGACGCCGCGATCAAGCAAAGCATCCGCAGTGCCGAGATGTGCCCAAGGGAGCCACTGCAAAGGAAGAGCAGGAGTATGAGGCCTCAGCCGCGGGAGAGGGGGGATGGAGACCATCGCGAAGCGGCAGAGGAGGAAAAGCGGAAGTATGATGCTGAGTTCAGGCCATCTGCGACCCCGCTGATGTCGACGTAGGCCTGGACCATAGCCGCACTCGGATGCCCAGGGGGGTAGTGGAAGGACAGATCGAGGTCAAGTAACCAACGATCGGAGCCACATGTCATCGGCCTCAAAAACCTAAATTGCAATCGGCGTGCATGCGCGATCCTCTGCTGATCTGGATGCCAGGGGATCGTCTAGAATACCCGGCCCCCGTTTCACGTCAGGGGGGCCGCGTCCATCAGGTCGTTCTGGAAAGTGACCGCTAGCCAACCGCCCCCCAACTGAAACACCTGGCCGTGGAGCGCGCTGTGGACCCGCACGACCTCCTCGCGGCTGCCGGGATAGAGGCGGGCGCGCCTTGGCGGCGCCGAGGCCCAATGCTTCCAGAAACCAGCGTGCTGGTCGTTAGCTGCGTCGTAGGCACTGAGCTGCAAGACGGAATGTTGGCACACGTGGGTGACGATCTCATTGAATAGGCGTCGAACCTGGAACCCAGGGTCACTGTTGATCCGGAGCTCCGCGACGAAGTCGACTTGCCGGGCAGCGCGCCCGTTCTTTCCCCCTGCGGCGCCGAGACGCACCTAAGGTGTTCGCCGTGGCCGTGGGCACTGCGAAGGGTCGCCCCCCGAATCGGCGCGCCCTCCAGCGGAGCCTGGAGATGAGCGCGGCATCCCCCTCGCGGCAGAGTCGGTCCATAAGCTCCACCCGGATGTCGGCCGACGCCTTCGTTCGCGCCAGGAGCCCGTCCTCCGCGGGGAAGAGAGCCCCCGGACACAATGAGCTGGCATGCGCCAAGGCTGCAGGAGTGACATTCAAGAACCAGGGCATCGTCTGCAGCGGAGAGGTCCCTGGTGCCGATGGCCATCGCTGGGGCGAGGACCTGACACTTCAGCCGTCGCAGAAGAAGTTCGACACCGACAAACGAGATGCCAGGGGGTAGAAGAAGGTCGACTCGAGTCCGAGGAAACCCCGTCCTGATGCCGATGCTCTGGGCGGGGTCCCTGACCGTTATCACACCAAACTCTGGGGATGACAGTCCACGGTGGAACGAGCATAGCAGCTTCGTCGGGAGGACGATGAGGACAGATGTGCCAGAGACTTGCGTAAATGGCAATCGTGGGATCACCATCGCGGGGAGCGGCCGCGAGCCAGTGCTCGCGACGCGGAAGCAAGCAAGGCCGTGACGAAAATGGCGGGAGCCAAGCGTACCAGGCAGCACCATCTCCACCAGCTGGGGCAGCAGGCCGACGCTGTTGACCACCATGGCGTGCTTCTCCCCCTACAGCGGGTGAGTCCATAGGTCAAGGTGCCGGGACAACGCGGTCGCCCCAGGGTAGGAGGGTAGCGGGGCGAGGAAATACATCTCCACTGGGGTGCTGGAAAATCCTGCCGGCGGAAATGGTATAGGACCCGGCCGAAGGCGCGCGAGTCCCTCGGCACCGATGCAGCCACTTTCTGACCCTTTTGATTGTCACAAAGTTTGGCGCCCCCTCTCTCCAGCAGGTCGACGAGGCGGCGGCGCCTGCTGTCTGCGTCAGCCTGCCGCCCGCGGAGGTCGATGACCTGCGACCGCTGGGCGATGAAGTCGCTGGCAGCGGCGCGTGGAGAGCAGAACGCCGCGGCCATGGCGTCGGATCCCAGCTCTTTCAACCGCGAAAGCTTGTCTGGAAGAAGCTGGCGTCGGGTGCGCCGCGCCTCCCGCGGGCCCCCTTCGCAACGGGCTGCCGCGGAGGTGGCGGCGGCCTGCGCCTGAGCGGCCGCGTCGCGATCGTCGTCGACCCACGTATCCATGCGAAACGAGAGGAGAAGACTAGCCGACCTTGCACGAGAGGCGATGTCCATCTCAGTGGGCTCAGGGCCACAAAGAATACCTCTTCCCAGCAGCGGCCACGGGTCCTGCGCATCCAAGCGGCACCCCCTGCTTACTTAGAATTGCCGTGAGGTCGCGCATGCGAGCAGGAAGGGGCACCCCCGCGCGCGCCGTCTGCGGGTCGGTCGCCGCGCCAGCTTGCACGAAGTCGAAATGATGAAGCATCTCCGACTCGAGAAAACTATGCAGGTCCTCCAGCGCCATCGGAAGGTGAGAGGCGGCCCCAAGCCCTGGCAGGGCAGTGACCGCCGCAGGCGGGGCAGCAGGACGGGTAGCAGCCAATAGCTTAGAAAGCTTTGTGCCCAGCGGGGGGGGTCGTCGTCCACCAAATCCTCAAGCTGCGACGGCGCGACTGCAGCAAGTTGCTCTCCCGGGATCGGCGTCCTGCTGGAATGGGGTGGGTCGGCGTCCTGCCGGCCTGGCACGGCGCCCGCTAGAGGCTGGAACAGCTGCCGGCATCCGCGGCAAAGATCTCCCGAGTCCTCCGCAGGCACGCGGGTACAAACCAGACGGCAGGCGGCATGCTGGCAGATCCCCGTGAGCAGGGAAGCAGGCCCTCCACCTCAGAGGCGGAGCATCAAGTGCGTGGTGGCGTACTTGTGGATGCTGTAGTCCGTGGGTCATCGCCTGTCCTGAAGCTGCTCGCTGCCGAAAACCAAGCGTTGCTCGCCGCCTGGCAGGATGTTCCCGCAATCCTGGATATCATCTTTCACGTTGGCGATCGCGCAGCCGGCCGCCACGTTGATGGTCTTCCCCGGGAGCGTCTCGACGAAGATCGGTATTCCCCGAGGGGGCTTCGCGGTGGTCGTAGCCGAACTGCTGGGTGACGTCGCGCACCTCGTGGTGACCGCAGGCGGCCGAAGACCCGCCCAGGTGCGACGGGCGGCTCGCGACAGCGGCGGGGGCGGCGGTGGCCCCTCCAGGATCTGACGGGCGGCTCGCGCCGGAGGCGGCTGCTGCTGCTGCTGCTGCTGCCGCTGCTCCGAGGACGCCAGCCCGCCCTCGCCTGCCAGAGGCCCTCGATAAGCTGCTGTTGTGGTCGTTGTGGATTGTGGTCGTCGTGGATGTTCTGGTTGTCGTGGTCCCGGTGGTCCTGGGCGTCGTGAGCGTCTTGCTCGTCGCTGGCGTCGTGGTTTTCGTGGTTGACGTGGGTGTTGTGGTCGCCGTGGGCGGCGTGGTCGCGGGCGTCGCGATTGTCGCGGTCGCCGTGCTCGTCATCGTGGACTGGTCGCTGCTCGTCCACGGAGGACCACCTGCCAGGCAAGCCCAGCTGCTCACGACGTAGAGACTGCGAACTGGTAGCCAGCAAGGTGATCCACTCGCGCGGGCAGCAGATGATCCCAGTCGGGGTCGTAGTTGGGTTGGGGCGCTCCCCCTGGCACCAGCGGCGCGTCCAAGTTTCCGTTCTGTCCCAAGTGAGCCTGCGCCACTCTCTCCGCCGATATGCGCTCTCTGGAAGGGAAAGGCGCTGTCTCATAGAGACGCCAGAATTGCGCGGGAGGCACGCTGGCATGGTGGGCCTGTCCGGGAGAAGTGCGCGAAAACATTGCGCCCCCAGCCTACGCAGCGGGCGGCCGCCGAGAGGTCGTCGTGGCCATGTCGCGCAACGGCCAGAAAGAGAGCCCTGGGCGCTAGGCTGAAGTGAAACACGGAAGTACCCCTTCCAGTCCAAGCAACCTGGACCATCATTTCCACGGGGGTGCTGGCGACATTGCTGTCGTGGGTGCTGGCGTCGGAGATGCCATGTACGCTATCGTCAGTGCTGGCATGAGTGATGGCGTAGGTGCTGGCGCGGGGGGTGGCGACGGTGATGTTCACGTCTGTGGCGTGTCGGGTACGCACGCCAGAAATGATGGCCTCAGAGATGCCTTGGGTACTGGCGTTGGAGATGCTGTCGTCGGCGATGTTGGCGTCTGTGCCGTCGTCGGTGTCGATGACGACGTGGTCAGCCCGACTCCCGTGGGTACTGGCGATGGCGATGGCTCTGTTCTGCTCACCAGCGAGATCCGTGTCCCGAAGGCTAAGGGGACCGATCTTGGTGCCCTCCAGCTGCTCATCAACGCCCAGGTGGTCAATGGTCTTCTGCTAGTCGCCGAAGGCCTGGTGGTCATGGACCGCCGGGGAGTCGCCGAAACCCAGGAGGCTGATGAGCTCCCTGTGGTCGCCAATGTCCTGGGAACCGTGGATCTCCACCAGGTCCCCAATGTCCAGGTGGTCGCTGATCCCTAGGTGGTCACTGTTGCCGTACCACATCGGTATACCCTCCATGATTAGCCGCTCGGGTAGGAGATCTCCTGCGCAGACGCCTGTCGACATCGGTCAGAACACGCAGGCCCCTCCTCGCGTTCCGCTTCCTCCTTATCACCGTAATCGTGGTCCTCCTCCTCGTCGTGACCGTCCTCATCCACGTCGTGGACACGATCCTCCTTCTCTTGCTGATCCTTAGGGTCCTGATCCCGGTGCTTGTCCTCTGCCTGGTCCTCCTCGGCCTGGTCCTTCCTGTCCTCGTCCTGGTCATCTTCCAAGTATCCGACTCATCTTTGTGGCCTTCCTCGTCCTGGACCTGTTCCCCGTGGTGCTCCTCCTCGATGCTATCTTCGTCCTTCTGCGAGCCGACGTGGTCGTCGTAGTCGACGTGGCCGGCGTGGTCGGCGTGGTCGAGCGAAGTCGACCTGGTCGGCGTACGTGGTCGTCGCAGTTGACGCAGTCGTTGCCGTACTCCCGCACAAAACCCGAATGTCGCCAGACGCTCTCCCCTGCGTGAAACCCGGATGCCGCCACACACTCGCTCCTGCGTGAAACCACGATGCCGCCGCATACTCGCGGTGCCCGAAGCGGGAACCTTGCCCTAGCTTCAATAGGCTCTCGCCGTAACGGTTTGGACGGCCAGGCGGGGGGGAGGAGGAGAAGGAGGAAGGAGGGGGGCCGAAACTGGCAATGGCCCCGGGCTCGGAGATACTCACCAGACGTGCGGTGACCGGTGCAGCGAAAGAGGCACGCGCGGTGGACAGCAGCGGCAACAGCAGGAAGAGGAAGGCAAACGGCAGGGAGGAGAGGGGAGGACGAGCGAGGAAGGAAAAAGCAGCAGAGCAGGCAAAGCGGAGAACAGCAGGGAGAGGAGCAGGAGAGCGAGCGAGAGAGGAGGCAGCAGAGCACAAACGAGGGGAAGGCGGAGGGAGGAAGAGGGACCCACGGCAAGCAACGCACAGCAGCAGGGGACAGGAGACAAGGAAACTGCCGGTTGAAATGAAACGTCAGAGCGCGGATCACCTGCCCCGCAGGAGGCCTCGGCTGAGTCCAGGGGCGGCAAGGGCCACCGGAGCTAGTTCGTCTCGTGCACGCATGCAAGTGAGAGGAGGAAGACGAGGAAGAGGGAAAACACTGTCCGCGCGGGAGCAGGACCGGCTGTTGCGGCCTGGCGAAGGAGGAGGGAAGGGAGGGGAAGAGGTCCACTCTGGCCTACTCAGTCGACCGCCCGCAGGCCTCCCGCAAGAAGCCGTCGAAAGCCCCGTTGATGTCCTGCAGCGTGAGCCTGCCGTGGCGGCACCCGTTGTGGACCCGGTACAAGGCGTGCACGGAGTTGGCCCAGTCGACCACGGCGCGCTCGCCCTGTCGGCCCCAGTCCAACCCCATCAAGGCATCGAGCTCGAAGCCTGGGCGAGGCTGAGGGATGTCCGCAAAACGACTCTGCAACGCGCGGACAACAGAGCAGTAATCGAAATGTCGAATGCTGTCCGTCCCGCCATTGCACATCCGGCAGGGTCCAGCCCTGCCATACCGAGAGTGCGTGCACCATCCGTTACATAGAAGGCAAAAGACTGCGGCCCAAACCCGCGGCTGGCAACGGCGCCCGACGATCCGCAGGTTGCGTAGCGTCGGCGTCAGCCGGTGGCCGGGGAGACAAGCCAGCGGCCAGTGCCGAAGCTTCTTCCGAAGGTGAATTTGGGCGTCGGCGCGTGCTGGGCCATGCAGCTGCTCCATTGCATGTTTCTGCCATCCCTCCTTGCGGTGCCACTGGAAGGCCGCCGGGTTGGCGCGGCGATGCACATTGACGCGCTCCGCAGCCCTGTCCAAGGTAAGGACGAAGCACCTGTCCCGCCACTCGTGTAGCCAGCGCAGTCGTTGCAACGATACCTCTGTACTCCCGCAAGAAAGCTGCTGCACCCGCCGGGCCCTCTGACGAATGCGCAAACGGCCATCCGCTTCCCATTCCACCACGCGGGCTTTGGAGGCGACGAGAATAGAAGGCAAATCCGTGAGCTGATCGCCGAAGCCGAGGGACTTCAGTTCATGGGCGCACTCCGCAGTGATCCAATCCTTGGGGCCACGTATCATCTTCTTGAGAGCCTGAGATTCCTCTTGTTGGAGCTGCGGCGGAGGGTCCTCCAATTACCCCACGAATAAAAGCACTGAGGATATGCAGACCCGGTAGGCCTGGAGAGTCAGGAGCAAGCCGACGCCAAGACGCCCCCAGAGAGCCGCCCGCTCGATGTACTTTCGTAACGGCGCCGTCCAAGAGGCGAAGCCCCGGCCAGGACCCACGTACACGCCGAGGTATTTGGCAGCATCTTGGATCAGCACCCCCGCCCAACCAGGTGCCTCGGACCCGACCCACGCCCGCAGCGTCTGCCTGAGCTCTGGTGACAGCGGATCCGTAGGCACCAGTACAGTCTTCGGGAAGTTCAGCCCGAGCCCCGAAACCGCTTCGAACTCGGAGAAGAACTGATGGAGCATCCGCAATTTGCCTCGCGACTCGGCGGCCACGAGGGCAAGGTCGTCAGCGAACGACCGGATCGTGCTGCCCGGGAGTGTCCGTTGAAGCCGGCGAAGGTACAAGTCCGAGCACGCAGCAAACAGCAAGGGAGAGAGAGGGCATCCTTGCCGGATACCCCTGGTCAGCTGGAAGCCGTCGTATCTGGCGCCGCCCACTTGCATCTCACACTGATTGTTTCGGTAGAGCGTAAGCACGAAATTCATCAGCCAGCCTGGCCAACCCAAAGACCGGAAAAAGCGGAGGAAGAACTTCTGCTCGATGGAGGGGAAGGCCGCTGCAAAGTCGAAGAAGAAGGCCATGCCGCCCTCCCCCTCCGCCGCGGCGTAGAGCATGGCCTCGTCCACGTCAATGATGTTCCTCAGCATTGAGCGGCCCCAGATGAACCCTCTCTGGCAATCTGTGATGAGGGGGCCCAGGACAGGTTCCAACAAGAATCTGGTAGCACTTGCCGGCAATCTGTTGTCTGCGCTAGTGACGTTGAGCGGCCGCACCCCCGACGGCTCGTAGAGGTCAGTGCCGTCTTCTGTCTGCCCCACAGGTTTCTTTGGCAAGAAGTGCAAGATGATGGCGTTGAACTCCGGGTACTCTTCGTCCATCTGCGCCTCGGCCGCGTCCGACGATAAATCTTGAAACGCGCCGAACAGCACGTCCACGGATAATTTGCCCATGGCCCTCCAAGCCTCGTAGGGGATACCATCCGGGCCCGGGGAAGAATTGTTCGAGCACCTGACGGCGCGCTCGATGTGTTTCCTCGTCATCCGCAAGTGCTGCAACGAAGTGTGTTGAGGGCCGTGAACCTCGCGATGCGCAAGATCATCCTCCAGCCACTGCCCCAGGAGCTCCTCGTGCACCCCGCGAGCCTGGAAAACAGCAGCCCAGTGGTCGCGGAGAGCACCTGCCATGGACGATGGGTCCGTCAAGTACTCCCCATTCGCGTGTTTGATGGCTTTGATGCTGGACGAGCCCCCCTGGAAGAAGCCGAAAGAGCAGCCGCGTGGCCTTCTTCTTGACCCGCGCCCCGTGTTCCTGGTGGCCCTCCTTGTTAAGCTGCTGTGCCCTCTCCAACTCGTGTAACGCATGACCCCGCGCCAAGTCAACAGCGTGGTCACGGAGGGCACGAAGTCCGCTGGGATGGTGGTGGGAAGCGTACGGGTCGTCAACATATTGCGATATGGCCGGGTACCGCTCGATGCAATCAGAAATGACCCCCGCGACTCCTGATTCAGCAGCCCGGAGGAAACGCATAACCACGCCCAATCGATCTTCCTGCGAGGGAGCCTCGGGAGGCCGATGCCGTTGGCCGGATAGCACCCTCCCGACGTGCAGCATGGCCTCTTTCAAGAGCCTGAGACGCCCCATGTTGGACGAATCTGGATGGAGGTGAAGCTGATGATGGTACTCCAGTGCGACCTGCCGGTGGAAATCTGGATGTCGAATGCTGTCTGGATGAAGGCCTTAGCCCCCTACTGGAAGATGGTGTGGCGCTCGACGGGTGAACAACACGGCCCGGTGGTCGGAAACATGCGGCTTCCACTCCATGACTGTTGCGTGGATGTGTCGGTCCAGCTACTCCACGAGGTGGTGGTTGCTGTAGATCCGATCGAGTCGCGAACGTGCAGAAGAACTGGCGAAAGTCATGTCCGGTTGATGCATATCGTTGGGCCGGAACCGAGTGCCGAGGACTGCTTGAAAGTGTGTTTCTTCTCGTTGATCGCGGAAGCCCGAGGCGATAGAAGTACTGCAAGAGCGGCGGTCCCCCGCAGCGGGAACCCAATTGAAGTCTCCCGCTAAGATCGTCAGCACCGTGTTGGCGTTGCCCATGTGTCCGCTGAGACGGTCCCGGAGCAGGCCTCGAAGATCGGCGAAAGTATGGCATTGTCCGCGTTGGTCGTCGGGCATTCCGTAAAGATCCGCCTCCTGGATCTGGGCCCCAGTGTGAAAATATGCGACGATAAGGTCCAATGCACCCTCCTGGCTACGGAGGGCCAATCGTGCCGCCCGGCCAGGCCAGATGACGTGCCAGTCGATGGAGGAGAACTGCTTTGTGAAGCTATCCCTCAACACGATGCCGACTCCCGTAGTCGCGGTCCAGGTGTAGGTCCAGGTGGTAGCCGGGAACGGGACGGGCAGCCAAATTCTAGGCCTCGGGGGCGCCGAGGGCGAGCGGCCCGCGCCGGAAGGCGCCCCCGCCGCTCGGCATCCGGGACGGCATGGCACGGCGGGCGCGCGCGTGGCCCAAGGCCAAGATCAGAAAGCAAGTTCGCGCAACAGATGGGGTGGCCCTTTACTCAAAACTCTGACATCGCTGACTGCGCAGCCAGCGCTTTGAACGGCATCTTGGTGCAGGCTGGTCGCGATGCTGGCCAGGTGGTCTTGCTCGAACAAGTGGTCCCAGAGCTCGTGGGCTTCAAGAGGTCCCGCTGGGGGAGCGAGGTCTGGGTTGAAGCCGTCTTGAACGTCGAGTTGCTCGGCCGCCCCACTGCGCCAGATCGGCGATTAGACGGCACTGTCCAGCGCCCCGCCGCGCAGCACCTTCTGGATGGTGCTGCCGCTGCTCCAGGCGCGGCGGCGGAGGAGGGCGCGAGCTGCAAGGAGGAGAGCTACAAGCCACCTGCTGGCAGATCTATGCTGCCGTGTGCCATGGAGACTTGGGGTCGCATCGACGACAGGCTTGATAGTCTCCTCGACGAGCTGGCGGTCTTGGCAGCGCGGAATCGGAGGAACAGCGGCATCGTACCGACGCGGCGGCGGGCGAAGGGGCGTACTCTCATAAGCATCAGCATCAGCATCGCCACGGCCATCGGCAGGACCATGGCTGACGCGGCGCCCTATGTGCCCATTGCTCTGTGCAGATTTCATATTGGACTGGTGCGAAAGAACGAGAGAGAGAGAGAGAAGAGAGGCATATAACATAAGCATGCCACATCATATTGACAGTAAGATGCTAGACATGTGTACGGAGTATTTATGTGAAGAGAGAGAGAGAGAGAGAGAGAGAAAGAAAAAAAAGAGACAGAGAGAGAGGGCGAGAGCGAGAGAGAGAGAGAGAAAGAAAGAAAGAGAGAGAGAGAGAGACACACAACAAACACGAAACAAACAATCAACAGCCACCAAAAAAAACGATCGTGATACGCGCACGTACGCATAAACGCACACGCGCACGCACACGCACACGTTCGCAAACACGCACACGCACACGCACACACGCACACACACACATACATACAGACAGGCAGGCAGGCAGGCAAAAGGGAAACAGGCAGACTAGACTGACAGACAGACAAAGCGAAAACGGTGAGATGGAGGAGGGATATATATATATATAAAGAGAGAGAGAGAGAGAGAGAGAGAGAGAGAGAGAGAGAGAGAGAGAAAAAAAAAAAAGAAAGAGAGAGGAGAACAAACAACAGCTACAGCAACAAAACAAAAAAGAGGGAGACTGACAAACTCGGGGAAAGACCCTAATTTGGTGATCCCCCCACGCACCACCCCCATGCCACGCAAAGCCGACGGAATCACCAAGCTAAGGCGGAACGGTCGGAAAACCTGGCCCGCGGGGCCTCGGCGGCCGAGTAGAACATGACCCCGGCACGCGCACGCACACAGACAGACGCTGACGCACCCAACACAGACAGACAGGCAGGCAGGCAGGCAAAAGGGAAACAGGCAGACCAGACTGAGAGACAGGCAGAGCGAAAACGGAGAGGGTGGAAAGAGAGAGCGACGAGAGAGAGAGAGAGAGAGAGAGAGAGAGAGAGCGAGAGAGAGAGAGAGAAACAAACAAGTAGAGAGAAACAACAGAGAAAATTACATGAAGAAAAAGCAAAAGGGGATACCCTAATTTAGTGTCCCCACGCGCCCCCCCCCCGCCATACAAAGCCGACGAAATCACCAAACTAAGGCAGAGCGGTCGGAAAACACGACCCGCGAGGCCCCAGCAGCCGCGTAGAACATGATCATGAGACGCACACATACACGCTCGTAGGCACTCTAGAATGGCGAGGCTAAGTAGGGACCCTCCTTTTTTGATCGATGCCCCCCAAAATGGCCCGACGAGCGCCCCCAAAGCACCCAAACGCGCCCCAAGGGGCGCCCATGCGGCCCCAAGAGGCGCCCAAGATGCCTCCAATAGGCCCCCAAGAGGCCCCCAAAAGGCATCAAGAGGATCCCCGAGGCACCCAAGATGCCCCCCAGACGTTCCAAGAGGCCTCACATAAACAAAACAACAACAACAAAAACTCCCAAGAGACATCCGAGGAGGTTGTTATGTTCGTCATTTTTTCCTCCTCCCCCTCATCCTCCTCCTCGTCCTCCTCCTCTTCCTCCTCCTCGTCCTCCTCCGCCTCCTCCTCCTCCTCCTCCTCCTCCATTTCTTCCTCCTTATCCGCTTACGCCTCCTCATCCTCCTCCCTCCTCGCTCCTCCCCCTCCCCCGCCTTGGACGGCTTCCCCCGCGCATTTTTATTTTGCATGCTCCCCCGCTTCTCTGATCACCTCGAATTCCCCTGGGCATCGTTTCTAGATGGGCTGGTGGGGGTGCTTTGTGGTCCGCGGGCTCGCGAAGCAAGTCGAGAGCCGGGCGAAGCCAGGGCGGGCCGCGCCGAAACAAAAAACAACAACAACGATGAGGGCAGCGCTCGACACGGAGGCGGGCTCAGCGCAGCCAAGATGGCGCGGGAACTAGCAAACCGGCACCGAGAACACGTCACCAAGGCGCCATGGGACGCGGAAGCAGGTGCAGCGCGGGAGATCGACCCCACCCAAAGGAGGTCGGAGACACGGCCCCAGGACGCACGTGCCGAAGAAGGTGCCCGAGGCGGCCGAGAACACCTTGCACGCAACGGCGACCAAAACGCGGGAGAACCTGGCGCCCAGAAGCCTGCGCCCCAGGTAACTTGCCGACCAACCACGAAGCCCTTGAACCAGAAGGCCTTCACGACGTAGAACGAGCACGCGAGCCAGGAGTAGCAGCGTGGACGACCCCGAGAGACGGGCGCGGCCACCGCAAGTAGCGCCAAGCGAGCGCCGAAGAGGTAAACGGCCTCCAGATCTCCAGGTAGAAGGACGCGCAATCGGGCAACGACGGCGCGGAGAGGACCTGCACGGCGAGGAATAAGCGGAAGTCGGTCGGGCCGCGGCCGCTCCGCGCCCTCCAACGAGCAGGTCGGAGGCCCCCAGGGGGCAAGCGCAGACACGGAGAGAGAAGCCACGAGCAGCGCGACCAGCCATCAGGGCGCCCTGCGCGCCGAGACCCGGAGGCAGCTGCAGTGGCCGGCACGGCGACGCCGTGAAAGAAGGCGTCCCAAAACGACCGCGAGCACGCGGCGCCAGGAAGACGAGCGCAGCGCCGCCGCAGCGGGCATCCCGCGCGGGGGCGCGGCGGACGGCCGGCTGCCCAGCAGCCATGAGAAGTCCGCGCCGAAGTCCATAGCCGAAGCCACCGCCGAACTCGTGCTTCACCAAGGAAACCATGCCGACGAACGCCTTCAGCGAGCGGGGAGGATCCTTGACTAACCAGCAGCGCGCCCTTGCCGAACACCATCGTCATGAATCCTTGCGGCCATCACGCCGACGAGGAACAGAGAGGGCGCCGCCACCGCGTGTGTAGCTGCAGCGCGCCAGCCGTCCGTAACCCAAACCTGGCAGCAGCTGCAGCTGAAGCTGGTGGGGATACTTCGTGGTGTGCGGGCGCACGAAGCGGGTCGAACGCCGTGCAAGCAGGGGCAGGCTGCGCCACCAGTGCACAGAGCGGAACGGAGCTCAGCGCGGCCAAAATTGCGCGGACGGCATCACTAAGCGGCACCCGGAACACGTCCAAGTAGGTGCCGAACTTGATGCAGATGTAGTGGAGAGACCCCACGGCGACAGTGGGTGCTGGTCGGGATACGCGAATCGTCAACGTATGGGCGATTTCCCCACGCGCCCCCCCCCGCCACACAAGGCCGACGAAATCGCCAAACTAGGACGGAGCGGTCAGAAAACCTCGCACGCGGGGCCTTGGCGGCCCCAGGCCGCAGCACGCGCACGGCACCCAGGGTCTCCTTAGTGGCGCCTCTCCCATGCGGACACCTGGAGCGGCGCAGAAGTTCCCAGAGGGCCTCGCGACGGTCCCCAGGAGGCCCCCAGACTGCCCCAGATGGTTTCCAGCAGCACACCGAAGGTTCGAAAGCCGCCAGAATGTCCAGACGGGATATCCAAGATGGCCACATCAATCAAACACCAAAAACACTCTCCTCCAGCATGTTTTCTTTTCTGGAGTTTCACTGCGTTGCGAACGCGTGGCTTTAAGATGGCCCCGGAGGTCCATGTTGACCATAAGGGAAGCCCAAGACCCTTGACCAGAAGGATGACCCAGGACCGCCGTGGATACAAATCATAACAAGTATTCAGTTTGACTTGAGCGGCCAAGGCGTGCGCTTCCAAGCCTAGGATTCGTTCATCCAGATACGGCCCGTCTGACGCGCTATATCATTGGCCCAGTGGCACATAGAAGGCGAGCGCGGGCGAAACGCGCGATGGCTCCAGTCAAGAAGCCCAAGACGACAATCCGAACTACCACTTGGATTCCTAACTTTGGGAAATGGCTTTCGACACTGGCAGAAGTCGCCAGATGCGTCGGAGACGTTACACTGGCGGGGCCCAAAACCGGGCCGCCCGACCCAGTCTGGCGATTTCCTCGGCGGGGCGCCAGCGGGGAGTGGGCGTGGAAATCACCGAATTAGGGTTTGTCTTTCCCCTTTTCCGTTTTTGTTGTTTCCTGGTTCCTGTCGTTGACGTGATTCTAGATCGCGTGATGGTCGCGGCCGTCGGGATTGGTTCTGGACGCGGTAGGTTGGATGCACCTCTTGTCCACGATGTTTTTCTCTCCGCCGCCCGCGAGCGCGTCACCGTCGGCGTCCGCTGTCAGGGGGCGTCGTCGTCGTCCGATGTCGGGGTGTCGTCCTCCATCCTCCTCCTCCTCGTCGTCGCCCTCCCCCTGCACCTGCTACTCCTCTTTCCCTTTCCTCCTGCTCCTCCTCCTCCCCGTCCTGCTCCTGCTCCTCCTGTTCCTCCTGTTCCTCCTCCCCCCATCCTCTTCCCCGTCCTCCCTCTGGTGTCGTCCCCAAATCCTTGCGCCATCGCAACGCACCGCCATCTCATGGATAACCCCGCCGAAGACGAATACCTGACACTTGAAGAATCTTATGAAGCAGAGCCCAAGCCGCGAATATCCCACCGAGCACGCTTCCAATGTAGCTGACCCAGCAATCCAGCGCTCGACCTTTCCGTTTCCAGTGTTCGACCTTTCCGTCCGTTTCCAGGGCTGGAAAACAGTGTTTCCAGGGTTGGTGGCAGCTCGGACTGCCAGGATTGAGTCCTTGTTTCTCGGGTTCGGACTTTAACCTGGACAGCGCGACTCAGAAATTGGACGTCCACAAAGGTGAGATCGTCGAGCCCTGGGGCAGCTGCACTGGCGTCCGTGCGCGAAGTCCTTTCTGCACTGTAGTTCGAGCCGGCCTCGTCATCGGACAGCACCTCCCCGCGCGAAGACCCCTCCGACTCCCCAAGAGGACTCCGAGCTGATGTCCCAAGCAGCCCTCGGCACCGAGCTCCCGAATCGCCTTCGACCCGCCGCCACACGTCCGTCAATTTGTCCCAAACAGCAGATGTGCGCAATCTGGGAGTACCCAGATGCCGGCGTAAGCGCTGAATCCCATGCTCCTGTCTGACAACGGTGTCGGCCAAAAACTCATTGATAGGCGTCACTGCTTCCGTAAGTGCATCAACATCCCTTCCAAAATCAGAAAACTTTTCATCCGATACCTTGCTGAACACATCCACCTGCTTAGCCGAAGATGTTTGTGAAGACCGCTTGCTCCGTCCACCGCGCTTCCGTGTAGGCAGCCCTGTGGACGCTGACTGAGTTTCGTTTTGTCGCCGTCATCACATGTCGCCGCCACCATTGAGCCGATCTTGAGCCTACGCTTTCAGTCGTCTTAGAAGCTTACAGCGCTTCAAATATTGCTAAGGTGGTTCCCAACCAAAGATTATTATCCTTGCACCGCCCTCATTCGCCTTAACTTGTGCAAGAGCTAAAGGAGTGGGTACGTGTTATGTTCAAAACCTGGCTTTCGCATAGTACCTCATTGAACTTACATGCCCGAAACTTGAATATGCCACAGCTGCACGGATGAAGGGCGGTTCTTGTGTGGCTCTCGCTTGAGTCTTCCTCGAAATCTACGACCATAAGCGTAGCATTGTGCAGCACATGCACAGATGGGTGCGGTCCTTTTTGAACAAAACGGGGATCTCGCTGAACACCTCGCTAAACTGTATTATCGCACCTGTTCGCATCCCTTCGTCCCCTCTGCATTGATGCAAGGTAACTCCTTTCCAAAACGAGAAGCTCGGCTGAACGATCGGCCCGTACAGTGCTGGCCTTTCCAGGGGGCGTTTCTTGCAATGACGCGGAAGGCTGACAGGGAGTTGTGAGGAGGGAGCTTGAGACGGGAGGGTGTATTGCAGCGTCGTTGGCACATATTGAGCTTACTCTGGTGTTCCTCCTCCTCCTCCTCCTCCTCCTCCTCCTCCTCTCCACCTTGTTTGGCGAACAGTGGCCGTAGCGCAACACGTCCTTCTGTTCCACCTCCTGAGCGCAAGTTCCTCCCATCCCTGTAATATTCAGCCCTGGCTCCCCACCAGAATAGGTCCTGGGAGCATCGACCATGGTTGGATCCCCGGGAGTCCGTCGTCGTCAGTAAGAAAGCCCCACGTTGTGACACAACGCTACCAGAGCTCTCGAACCCGCAGATTTTCAAGCGGCATCGAACTCCGTGGGTCCCAGACCCCGACACGGAGCGAGAACGCCCGCCGTCATCTCTCGGCAGCGTGCAAGGGGGGAATTGAGAAGGAGGAGGCCTTCTCAGAAGGCGGCGGGACTTCTCAGAAGCCCTCGCGCCTTCTGAGAGGTTGTTCATGTCTTCGGGGAAGGCTTCGAAAACTTCTCAGAAAGCCGGGGGGCTTCCGACCCTTCTGAGAAGGCCTTCTCACTTCCCCCCCTCGCTGGCCGCCGAATCTCTCCGCGACGCCCAGACAAGGTCCCCAACCAAAATCTGCTCTAAACCGGTCCACCGCCCCCTCCCTGGTTCCGTGCTGGCCCAGTTCTCGAATCGCGTCCCGCCGTGGCGACGAGGGGCCTGCCCGAAGGCCAAACCAGAGGGAGGAGGACGAGGAGAAGAAGGACGAGGAGGCCAAACAAGAAGAAGGATGAGGAGGAGGCCAAAACAGAAGAAGGACGAGGAGAAGGCCAAAACAAGAAGGAGGCAGGAGGAGGGGGAAGCGAAAGAGGGGCGGTGCAGGGGGGGAACGGGGGAGGCGGAGAGGCAGGAGGCGGAGATGGGCGGGAAGTGGAGGTGGAGGCGAGCAGCGGTCCTTCTCGCGCCCGCGTCTCCGCCCGGGCCACTGAATGTGCCGAAGGACCTCGGTCCGCAGGGCATCGGCCGACCGATGAGACGACGACGACGACGACGACGACGACGACGACGACGACGGCAGCAGCGGCGGCGGCGGCGGCGGCGACGACGACGAAGACGGCTGCGACGGGGGGAGGATGGCACAGAAAGGAGGCACCGGCGATGACGACACCGACGAAGACGACGATAACGACGAAGACGACGACGACGACGACGACGACGGCGACGACGACGGCGGCGGCGGCGGCGACGGCGATGACGACGACGGAAACGACGACAACGATGACGACGATGACGACGACGACAACAACGACGACGAGGATGACGTCGACGACGACGACGCGATGACGAGTACGAGGACGACGGCGACGACGATGACGACGACGACCACAACCACAACCACGACCACAACCACGACGGTGGCGGCGGCGACGGCGGCAGAAAGGGCATGGAGGAAGGCAAGACGGGGAGGAGGCGAGGACGGGGGCGGGGATCGGAAGGTGGGAGAGGAAGGAGGGGGAGAGTTCTCTTAAATGCGCGCAACATAAAGCTGGTCTTTCAAATTCGGGTTGCACTTGATGGACATAATAGCTGCACTGGAAGGGCCTCTATATATCCTCACACCAGGGGGGGAAAAGTGGCAGAGGAGGATGAGGAGGGAGAGGAGAAGGCGAAGGAGAAGGAGAAGGAGGAGAAGGAGGAGGAGAGTGGGCAGGGAAATGGGAGGAGGAGGAGGAAGAGGAGGAGTGGGAGAATGAAGAGGAGGAGGAGGACAGGGAGGTGGAGGAGGAGAAAGAGGAGGAGGAGGAGGAGGAGGAGGAGGAGAAGGAGAGGGAGGAGGAGGAGGAGGAGGAGGAGGGAAGAGGGGAGGGAGGAGAGGAGGAGGAGGGGAGGGGAGGAGGAGGAGGAGGAGGAGGAGGAGGAGGAGAAGGGATGCCACACTTAGCCTTACCATATTCGTTGCAGGCTTAACATCCCCCCTGGCCCAGCCTCACAGGCCAGCCTCAGCAGTGGCATACTCTTACATTAAGCAGCTTGTACCTACAACTCGGGCTTGCAGGTGTTATGGTGTCCTTCAAGGGTGCATGCTGCTTCCAATCTGGAGCTCAAGGAGTCACGCATTAATTTTAGTCCTGATTTCACCGTGTCCAGTCGCATACAGCTCACCTTCTTTCTTTTGCATCTCAGGAGCCAGCACGGTAGGACCACACTTTGCCTAGTAAGCGGCTTTATCTGCATAAGGGGTAGCAGCCCAAGAATTGCTTACGCTGCACTGCCTCCTTCTGTTTTCCTGCACGAAACTTGGGCAGCACGTGCCAGTGAATCCTAGGGTCTTACTGTCACTGCTGCTACTCAGGTGATGGGGACTTCTTACACTCAGGTACGTGCTGTCGTACCTGGCGGGCGCCCTCTCTTTTTTTCTATTATTGCCGCCGCCTTATCATTCGGATTTCTCGCGGCGCCCGCCAGGTGCCTTTGCGTTGAGTCGGGTGTGCATTTTTTCTAGAACGCTACAGCTGCTCAGCTCAAGTCCGATCAACGTGAAACAAAAAGGAGGAGGGGGAGGAGGAGGAGGAGGCGTTCTCGAGGCCGGGGGATTGTGGAGTCCCTGTGGGTTTCAGACGATTGTTTACGATCTTTCACGTTGCTCCTCATCATTATTCTGATATTTCCTCTCTCGCTTTTTTTTTCTCTCTATCTCTCTCTCTCTCAATCTCTCCCACTCCCATTCCCATTCCCATTCACATTCCCAATACCATTACCATTACAATTCCCATCCCCCTTCCCATTCCCATTCACATTACCATTACCATTACCTTTATCTGTACTTTTACCTTTACCATTACCATTCCCATGGCCATTACAATTGCCATTGTCATTGCCATTGCCATTCCCATTGCCATTGCCATTACCAGTGCCGGTGCCATTGCCATTGTATTACCATTACCATTGCCATTGCCATTACCATTACCTTTATCTTTACCTTTACCTTTACCATTATCATGGCCATTACAATTGCCATTGTCATTGCCACTGCCATTCCCATTGCCATTACCAGTGCCGTTGCCATGGCCATTGTATTGCCATTGCCAGTCGCCGACCCGTTACCATTACCATTACCATTACCATTGCCATTGCCATTAGCATTACCAACACCATTGCCATTACCATTACCATTACCTTTACCATTACCATTACCGCTGCCATCACCATTACAATCCCCATTCCCATCACCCTTGCCATTACCATTACCATTACCAGTGCTATTTCCATTACCATTACCATTACCATTGCCATTATCATTACCACTACCACTACCATTTCCATTCCCGTTCCCGTTCCAATTGCCACTACGATTCCCATTCCCAGTCCCATCCCCATCCCCATTGCCATTACCATTACCATTACCATGACCAATGACCATTACCATTGCCATGGCCATTGCTATTGCCATTGCCAGTGCCGTTGCCATTCCCATTGCCATTGCCATTGCCATTACCATTACCATTACCATTGCCATCGCCGTTGTCATTGCCATTGCCAGTCGCTACCCCGTTACCATTGCCATAACCATTACCATTACCGTTACCGTCACCATTACCATTCCCAGTACCATTACCATTACCACTGTCATTGCCATTACCATTACCATTGCCATTGCCATTGCCATTCGCCACTACCATTACCATTGCCATTCGCCACTACCGTTACCATTACCATTACCATTACCATTACCATTGCCATTGCCATTGCCATTTGCCACTACCATTACCATTGCCAGTACCATTACCATTCGGATTCGCATTCCCTTTCCCAATACCATTACCATTACCATTACCATTACAACTGCCATTGTCATTACCATTACCATTACCTTTACCTCTACCTTTACCTTTACCGTTGTTCCTTTCAACATGGCCAATCTTGTCGGCGACGTTGCGAAATTCGCGGCGGGAATGGGACGCGGCGCACATCCCGCGCGGACGTCAATGCGGTGTCCTGGGGTATCCTCCACTCGCACTGAAATGCCCGCGCAACCCCCAGTTGTGCCATCACTGTTTCTTATGTTGTGGGAGGGCGGGTGGGAATGGGCATGCCATGCTTGACTCGCTCGAGCTGGCTAGCTTGACCTTTACCCTTACCCTTACCCTTACCATTCCCATTTCCGTTACCACTACCACTGCCATTGCCATTCCCGTTCCCATTCCCATTCCCATTCACATTCCCATTCCCGTTCCCATTCCCATTCACATTACCATTACCATTGCCATTGCCATTGCCATGGCCGTTGCCATTGCCATTGCCATTCCTATTGCCATTGCCATTGCCATTACCATTACCGTTGCCATTGTCATTGTCATTGCCATTGCCAGTCGCTACCCCGTTACCACTACCAATACCGGTACCATTATCAGTACCATTACCATTACCTCTGTCATTACCATTACCAGTCGCATTGCCATTGCCATTGTCATTAGCCACTACCATTACCATTGCCAGTACCATTTACATTGCCATTCCCATTCCCATGACCATCATGATTACCATTACAATTACCATTATCATTTCCATTACCATTACCATCACCATTACCATCACCTTTACCTCTACCTTTACCTTTACCCTTACCCTTACCCTTATCATTCCCATTTCCGTTACCACTACCACTACCATTTCCATTCCCGTTCCCGTTCCCATTCCCATTCCCATTCCCATTCCCGTTCCCATTCCCACTACCATTGCCATTACCATTCCACTTACCATTGCCGTTGCCATTGCCATGGCCATTATCATTGTCATTGCCATTGCCAATCCCATTGCCATTGCCATTACCATTACCGTTGCCAATGTCATTGTCATTGCCAATCGCTACCCCGTTACCAGTACCATTACCGTTACCATTACCAGTACCATTACCTCTGTAATTACCATTGCCATTGCCATTCGCCACTACCACCAATACCATTTCCATTCCCATTCCCATTCCCATTACCATTACCATTACAAGTACCAGTACCGCTGCCATTACCATTAGAATTCCCATTCTCATTCCCATTCCCATTCCCAATACCATTACCATTTCCCTTACCATTACCATTACCATTACCATTACCAGTGCCATTACCATTACCACTACCACTATCATTTCCATTCCCGTTCCCGTTCCCATTCCCACTCCCATTCCCATTACCATTACCATTACCACTGCCATTGCCATTGCCATTACCATTACCATTACCATTACCTTTACCTCTACCTTTACCTTTACCCTTACCATTACCATTACCATTGCCATGGCCATTACCATTGCCATTGCCATTGTCATTGCCATTCCCATTGCCATTGCCATTACCATTAGCATTACTGTTGCCATTGCCATTGTCATTGCCTCGCTAACCCCGTTACCACTATCATTACCGTAACCATTACCAGTACCATTACCATTACCACTGTCATTACCATTACCATTACCACTACCATTACCATTGCCATTGCCATTGCCATTGCCAGTGCCAGCCGAGGATTTCAGTAGGAATCATCCAGTGGAGGGTTTCAGTAGGAATCCACATGTGGAGGATCTCAGTAGGAATCATTCAGTGAAGGGTTTCGATAGGAACCCTTCTGTCGAGGATTTCGCTGTGAATCCTTCTTATGGGGGCGTTCAATAGGAATCCTTCTAGGGGGAGGGCAGATGTGGCCACGTCGCATTCCTTTTTTTTTTTCTCCTGGCGTCCCCCCTCCCCCCCCAGATTTTTTTTTTGTCTGGGGGGGGGGACGCCAGGAGAAAAAAGGCAGAGAGGTAGGAGGGGGAGAGTGAGGAGGAGGAGGAGGAGGGGGAGGAGGAGGAGGCGGAGGAGGAGGAGGAGGAGGAGGAGGAGGACGACGACACAGAGCAGAGTTTGCACAGAAACAGTCGCGAACTCAGCGCGAAAGCCTCGCGCGCGCGCTTTGGAACCACAGGGACTCCACAATCCCCCGTTCTCGAGGAGGAGGAGGAGGAGGAGGAGGGGGAGGAGTGTGGAGAGGTGCAGGGGGTGAGAACAAGGGGTCCCAGGGCCCAGAAGGCCAAACTGATTGAAAAAGCATGTGCTTCTCAGTGCTCTAGGGGTCTCCATTTTTCGGTTGAGACCGCGTCCAAGACACTCGTAGCTTCGTCTCTATCACGGGAGCGGTGTGGGTCGACGGGCGGGCGGATACTTTGTTCGGTCGGAAAAAGAAATTTCGGCAGGCGAGCGGGACAGATCATGTCCCAAACGAAGAAATTAGCCTTGGCGAACCGGGAAATCGTGCCCAGGCGAGCGGCCAAACTTTTGTCCGACTCGCGAAGAAATGTCCACTCACCACCATCACTATCATCATCATCATCATCATCATCATCATCATCATCATCATCATCATCAACATCATCAGCATCATCACCATCATCATCATCATCATCATCATCATCATCACCCGCACTATCACACACACCATCACACTCACCCATCATCATCATCAGCAGCATCATCACCATCATCATAATCATCATAAACATCAGCATCATCATACTCATCATCACCAGCATCATCATCGTCATCATCATCTTCATCATTCTCGTCATCAGCGTCATCCTCGTTATCCTCCTCCTCGCCATCACCATCATCACCAACCATCATCAGCATCACCATCATCATCAACATCAGCATCACCACCATAATCACCATCATCCTCCTGACCGTTAGCAGCATCATTATCATCATCAGCAGCATCATCGTCATTAGCAGAATCATCGTCATCATCATCAACGTCAACAGCACCATCATCATCGTCATCACCACCATCATCATCAACATCATCGACATCCTCATCACCATCATCACCGTCATCATCATCCTCGTCACCACCACCATCATCATCACCATCATCATCATCATCACCAAAATCATCACCAACATAATCACACTCACCATCACACTCACCTTCATCACCATCATCATCAACATCATCATCACCATCATCACCATCGTCATCATCATCATTACCTCGTCATCCTCGTAATCCTGTCATGCTCCTCCTCCTCCTCATCATCACCATCATCAGCAGCAGCATCATACTCATCACCATCCCAACCATCCTTACAATCAGCATCATCAGCAGCATCAGCATCATCGACATCATCATCATCACCACCACCATCATCAACAAGACCATGACCAGCAACATTATCATCATCGTCAGCAACATCACAGTCATCAGCATCACCATCGTCATCATCACCATCGTCATCATCGCCACCACCATCATCATCATCATCAACACCATCACCATCACCATCACACTCACCATCACACCCACCATCATCATCAGCATCATCATAATCAACATCACAATCATCATCGTCATCATCAACCTCCTCACCTCGTCATCCTCATCATCTTCCTCTTCCTCCGCCTCCCCATCATCATCGTCACCACCAATCATCAGCATCATCAGCAGCATCATCATCACCCTCATCATCATCAACACCACCATCACCACAGTCACCATCATGACCATTAACAGCATGATTATCATCGTCCTCATCAGCGGCAGCAGCATCGACAACAGCATCAGCATCGACACCATCATCACCACCCGCAGCAGGATCATCATCGTCATCACCAACATCACCATAACCATCATCGACATCATCATCAACATCATCAGCATCATCATCCTCGTCACCACCACCATCATCATCACCATCATCATCATCAACATCCTCACACTCACCATCACACTCACCACCACCACCATCATCATCATCATCATCATCAACATTATCACAATCACAATCACACTCACCATCATCACCATCATCATCAGCGGCATCAGCAGCACCATCAGCACCACCATCATCATCAGCATCAGCATCGTCATTATCATCATCATCCTCGTCATCCTCGTCATCCTCGTCCTCCTGCTCCTACTCCTCCTCCTCCTCGTCACCATCATCATCAACCATCAGCATCATCATGAGCATCATCATCCTCAGGTTCATAGCTCATCCTCACCATAATCATCCACAACATCATCATCACCATCGTCATCGATATCACTATCATCATCACCACCACCATCATCACCATCATCATCATGAGCATTAGCAGCATCATTACCATCATCATCAGCAGCAGCATCGAGATCAGCAACATCATCGGCATCACCACCATCATCAGCAGCAGCACCAGCATCGTCATCACCATCATCACCGTCATCACGCCCACAACCGTCGACATCATCATCACCATCAGCACCACTATCATCACCATCGCCGTCACCACCATCATGATCATCACCAGCATCATCGTCATCAGCATTATCACCACAATCATCATCATCATCAACACCGCCACCATCATCATCATCATCATCATCAACCTCATCACCATCACTACCACACTCACCATCATCATCATCATCATCACCAGCATCATCATCATCACCATCATCATCATCATAATCAGCATCACCATCGTCATCATCATCGTCATCGTCATCATCGTCATTCTCGTCATTCTCGTCATCCTCCTCCTCCTCATCATCATCACCATCATCATCATAAATCATCACCAGCATCATCACCATCAGCATCCTCATCATCACGTCGCAATCATCATCAACAAGATCATCATCATCATCGACATCATCAGCATCACCACCAGCATCATCACCATCATAATAACCATTCGCAGCATCATTCTCATCATCATCTGCAGAATCATCGTCATCAGCATCACCATCCCCATCATCGCCATCACCATCGTCATCACCAATCATCACCGTAACCAGCATCGACATCATCACCACCATCATGACCATCATAATCATCATCATCATCATCATCATCATCATCATCATCATCCTCGTCACCACCACCATCATCACCATCATCATCATCACCACCATCATCATCACCACAACCACCATCACCATCATCATCAACATCATCACCATCACCATCACACTCACCATCATCAGCATCATCATCAGCATCATCATCATCATAATCATCATCATCATCCTCATCATCGCCATCATCATCCTCCTCGTCATCCGCCTCCTCCTCCTCATCTTCCTCATCATCACCCATCATCATCAACATCATCATCATCCTCCTCATCATCACCATCATCCTCAACAGCATCATCACCATCATCATCATCAATATCATCATCACCATCGACATCATCATCACCACCACCATCATCATCATGACCATTTGCAGCATCAGTATCATATAGTATCATCATAATCAGCAGCATCATTGTCATCATAATCATCATCGTCATCACCATTATCATCATCATCATCAGCAACAACATCATCATCTTATCACAATCATCACCGTAACCATCATCGACATCATCACCATCATCACCATCATCATCATCCTCGTCACCACCACCGTCATCATCACCATCATCTTCATCATCAACATCATCATTACCATCACCATAATCATCACCACCACCGTCATCATCACCATCATCTTCATCATCAACACCATCATCCTCATCAGCATCATTATCATCATCACAATCATCATCACCACCATCATCGTCATTATCAGCATCCTCATCATCTTCGTCATCCTCGTCATCCTCCTCCTGGCCATCATCATCAATTATCATCATCAGCAGCATCAGCATCAGCATCATCATCAGCATCATCATCAGCAGCATCAGCATCAGCACCAGCATCAGCATCAGCATCAGCATCAGCATCAGCATCAGCATCATCATCATCATCATCATCATCATCATCACCATCATCACTATAGTCATCAGGGTCCGCCGTCCCCAGAGGACCACAAGGGCCCCGCCGTGGGTGGAGCTGGGCGCAGCTGAGCGGAGCGCTCTCCCACGGAGTAGACCGGCGTCTGTGGCTGGCCCCCGGATGGCTGCGACCAGGGCTGCTGCGGCGCGGACGCAGCGCCAGGGCCCCACTGCTGCTCGCTCGGACCTCGCGGGGACGGGAGGTGGACAGATAGGCGACTGACCCTGGAGATCCTGGATCCTTGAAAATTGGCGCCGGCTGTCCGCTGGCTTCTGTCGGCGGACCTGCCATCATTTGGCTTCCGCCGGCTTCTACCAGCTTCCGCCGAAGGTGAGATGCGTCGAAGGCGAGACGTTCTCTGGCACGCGCCGGATAGATAGATGGCGCCCCAGAAACGTCGGGAGATGAACGGACCAAAAGCAAGTTCAGAGATTGACCCGACATTAATCATCTCCTGAGTTTCCGACCCAAGGTCAGAAATTGGACGATCCAGTGTTTCGGAATTGAGCCTCTGATCCCATTGAACGATTAAGGTGGGATCCCCTGAATCCAGGAGCTTGCTCTTGAAACAGTGGGCTCTGAAGTGTTTGATGGCAGAAAAAAGAAATGGGATGGGTGTCAAGGGAGGGGAGAAAATCCATCGTCTGTCCATTCCCCCAAACATGAAGACCACTACGGTGCTGGATACATCTACTCGCGAAGGCAAGAGACCTCGATGTGGCAAATTCGTGTGCCTCCTCCCCGCCGCTCTGTAGTTGGACCCGGCATATCCCAAGAAGCAATCGGCTGACTACAACGGCTACGCTCCGAATCCTCCGACCCCGCGGGGTCTCCAGGCGCGTGAGATTCCTCCCCCCATGTCCCGTGGAAGCCACAGGTGGCGCCCCCTCATGGGCCCATGGGCCCCCGATACGTGTGAGGAGTGTGCCGAAATGAGCGCGGCGCAGCCATACGTCGCCGCCCGGTGAGACAGTGGGTGGTGTTCCTTACGAGGCCACCGAGCGTGTAAGGGGCGCACCGAAAAGGGCACGGCGACGCCATGCTTCGGCGCCCACTGACACGCCACACTTCGGCGACGTCACACTTCGGCGACGCCCACTTGGCGACGCCAAACTTCGGCGACACCCTGTCGGTCTCGCTGTAGCGTTGCGCACATTCGTCTCGAAAGTTTTGAAGGGGGCTCTTGGGGCCTCCTGGGAACATCTTGGGGCGAAAGGCTGGACTTTTCGGTTCGTGGTCCCCCTCTTGGGGCCGTCTGGGGGCCCTCTTGGGCCGTCTTGGGCGCCTCTTGGGCCGTCTTGGGGCCCTCTTGGGCCGTTTCGGGGGCCTCTTGGGAACCTTTTGGGCCGTCGTGGGGCGGTCTTGGGGGCCTCTGGGGCCGTCGTCAACACCGTGAAAGCCGACAAGCCGTATATGCTAAACATGGAGCAACGGTCCCTTTTTTGCGGAGACTGATTCTAGCGAAACTCTGGACTAGTCGTGGCCAGAGGCCTCGGGAGTCTAAAGGCATGCCTTAAAACTCCTTCTCCCCCAGGGTTGGGGGGGTGGGAGACCGACAAACAACTTGAGAATGAACGGCAGCAGGGAAGAGAAGCGACTGGACGGTTCCTGCTGTCTCAGTGTGGACAAGGGAAGCCGAGAACATCACCAAGACGGCCCCTTTGCTCAACCCGTTCTAAAACCTCCAGAGCAACGGTCCCTCTTTTTGCAGAGACTGATTCTAGCGAAACTCTGGATCGGTCGTGGCCAGAGGCTTCGGGAGTCTACAGGCATGCCTTAAAACTCCTTTCCCCAAACCATCCCGAAATTATCCAATTAGGATGTTCATTTGGGCGGGAAGAAAAAAGGTGGGTGAAGCCAGCTCTAGTTTCAACGATGCTGGCCAGCAAAGTCGAGACCATGGCCTTCGTCATATCTCTGGGATATTCGGAGCGATTCGTGTGCGACGAAGGCCACCTGGCCCCCCGCCGCTCAACTGCCAGTGGGGGCGTAGGGTCTTCGAACATATACAACCCTGTGGTCTACACCGCTGGGTGAGTTTAGTCAGATCTTCAAGGTTCACATTGCCACGCAAAATCCTAATAGCCTTCTTCCATTTAGCGCCGTACTGGCACTGGTCGAGCTCGACCAAAAAGACATTCTTACAATGGGAGAGCCCGCACATTTCTGCAGTGTGCCAGAGTCGGCTGGTCAGCGGATGTCCGAGCATGACAGGAATACCTCGCCGCAGAAGAAGTCTGAACAGGGACAGAGCGACACAAGCAAGACGATTGCCGAGGTGCACAGCTGCCGCATCGGCAGCAGTCAAGAAAGAATCGTTGAAACCCCAAGGCTCTTCGCGACTCCGCGCAGGTCGAGATCTGTCATGCGCTAATGAAAAGGTCCGGCACGGCGGGGCCAGCACTGCAGCCGCCAGTCGCCCAACTCGGGCGTCTGATCTGATGGCTTGCAAGACTCTTGGCGACAGCAAGTCCTGCCACTCTGCATCGTAGATGACGCCCCAGCTTCGCGAGCGGAACCCTAAACTGTCGGCCGCGCGCGAGATCGCCCTGCAGCCTGCAAAAAGATCGGCCAGGTACTGTCCTTTCCCTAGGCGAGAACGATAGAGCCGACCCCTTAATCGTGCCCCTCTGTAGCCGAGGTGCAACTGGGTTAGTTTTGCTTTAGACGCACGCTGAAGGGCTGTCCCGTCGAGATCTGGGTAAATTGCCTCTTTGCCTGCTCGCGCACTGCACGCAGAGCTGGGGCCAACTTTGCGTAGCTGCCTCCTAGCCTGCTGTTGTGCTCGTAGCGGTGCATGGACTTGAACACTGCATCCAAGCCCTGGAGGTACGGAGAGCACAGCGGGCATGCCTCGTCGAACTGGCCCCTCTTGCTGGGCTTCCTCCGCTCCCGAGAATGAGTCAGCAAGGCCCAGCGGCGGCTGGCGCCCGTCGTCGGGGGGACGAGATCGCACCTCCTGGCGGCCAGCAAGGTCGAGGGCCGCGAACTGGTCGAGACGCCCACCATGAGGAAGAGCGCAAGCCGAAGATGCCCTCGACGCACCAGCTCCCAAGCCAGGCCGCACCGGACCGGGAGGGCCAGGGCCTTCCGCCGCCGCCCAGGGGTCCGCCTGCGCCAGGCGCAGGGTAGCTTGCGATTCCCGATTCGCCCGAAGTCGGGGTTCGCGCTGACCCAGGCCGCCATGGCCTGATCCCCGTGGCTGCTCTGCTCGCTTTGCAAGTAAGTCTCGGTCAAGTAGTTGCAGAACAGCTCGTCGATCTCTGCGTCGGCCTTCGCGAGGATGTCCTCCCGCTTCAGGCCGACACGCGAGTAGAAGAGATCGAGGTAGCGCTGGTACCTCACCTGCGTCGGCCGCGCCACGGCCAAGGTCCCCAAGAGGCTCACTCCCGCTTCCTGAGCAGCAAGGATCGCGTCGGCGTACAGCTTCGCTCGCCTCTGCGCCCACCGAGCGCGCAGCTGCCGCTTCCGCGCGCGGCTGCGCCCCGGGCGCTCGATCACCGAGTCGGAGCCGCTGGAGCTGCTGTCGCCCTCGGCGGCCTCCCCATCCGTCTCCAGCGGGGTCCTGCCCGTTGGCGCCCCTGTCGTCCAGCGCCGAGAAGTGCCGCTCCTTCCGCGCAGCCATCGCTGGCACAGCGGAGGGGGCCGGCACCGGCGCGCGTCGGCGCCCTGCCGCCGGCGTCTGGGCGCCCCTCGGGCCAGCCCGCGCACGGCGCGCCGCGTGCCTGGCCGTCAGCGCCCGCGTGCCCATCGCTGTCCGAGGGAGCCTGACGCCTGAAGGCAGCGGCGGCTCCCGAACCACAAGCGCGCTAAGCCCCCGCAGCCGCTTCGGGCCCATGCTCAGAGCCCTCTACATTGATCGGAAGCTCGGCGATGGTGGCCAGAACCGAAGGTTTAGAGCCAAAACGCGTACTGACAGGACCAACGGACACGTCTGGTTTGGGGGCGGCTCTTGGAGGATGGGTTTGCAAATTGAAACTGGCCTCAAACTTATCATCGAGGAGAGATGTCACTATACTACTGTCGCTCTCTGAAACAAATAAACTGCTGCCTTCGTCACTCCCACTGAACTCCGACGGGATCCATCGAAAGGCGGGTGAAAGACCCAACGCTATGGCATAGGCATAGACTCGACGAATCTGAACCAAAAGACTGAAGCATGAGGATCGGGCCCTAGAAAAAGAAAGTACCACAGACATGTTGTCTGAAAGGAAAAGCTGACGCACACTGATTCCATGAAAGGTCTTGGCCGACCTCTGGACTGCTTAAACAAGGGCCCTGGCCTCCAGGATCAAAATGCCTTCGGGAAAACGCCAGATCCCTGAGCGGACCGTCTCCCAGGCCCCCTTTCGGAGCCACTCCCAGGGGACTTCGGCAAATCAGGATCAACATCCCAGGCGGACAAAGCATCGGGCTCCGAGGAATCCTCATTTATTACACTCTCGACGCTGCGGATCAGCCCCGAGCTATCCTGGACCAGGCTGGCGGCAGCGAGCGCGCTCTCCCGCGCAGGCCTTCCCTGCGCGGAGCGGAAGCGGGCCCGCTTGGGCAGCCCCCCGACCTCCTCCACCACGCGGAGCGGCCAGAACGACTGCGCCATGACCCAGCCGCTCTCGCTGGCGTCGGTCTGGAACACGCAGCTGTTCCACGGGCGCCACCAGCCCTGCACCATCGGCGCGAGCAGGCCGCGGAACATCTCCACCTCCTTCACGACTTCGGGCCACAGGCGAGCGGGCTCGTTGTAGCGCCGCTGGATGAAGCGGTAGGAGGCGTGCCAGCAGCTCAACGAGCCCCGCAAAGCCAGCCCACAGAAGGTGTAGTGGCCGAGCACCATCTCCAGGGCTCGCCCCGTCGCGCGGCCGCGCGCCAGCAGGCCCCCCAGCCCCGCGCACACCTTCCAGAAGCGGCCGTCGCTCACGCCCGACCTCATCAGCTCGAGGTCCAGCTTGGCCCCCAGAGCCTCGCACGCGGACGAGGTCACGGAGCTCTTGTGCAGGTCGAGGCCGACGCCCTCAAAAAGCCCCGCCCACTGATCGAGGACCTCCTGCGCGATGGTCTCCGACGGGGTGATGACGCCTAGGTTGTCGACGTAGACGTAGGCCCCTCCCACGCGGCCAGGCTCGACGTCCATGAGAAGCGGGGGCCCTCGGTCGCTCATGAGCAGCCTCTCGGAGATCGTCATATCT